TTTAGGTTTGTGGTGAAGGGGTACTGTGTTCAGGTTTGTGGTCAAGGGGTACTGTATTTAGGAGGTTTGTGGTCAAGGGTTCCTGTATTGAGGAGATTTGTGGTCAAGGGTTCCTGTATTTAGGAGTTTTGTGGTCAAGGGTTCTTGTATTTAGGAGGTTTGTGGTCAAGGGGTCCTGTATTCAGGTTTGTGGTCAAGGGGTCCTGTATTTCGGTTTCTGGTCAAGGGGTCCTGTATTTAGGTTTGTGGTCAAGGGGTCCTGTATTTAGGTTTGTGGTCAAGGGGTCCTGTATTCAGGAGGTTTGTGGTCAAGGGGTCCTGTATCCAGGTTTGTGGTCAAGGGGTCCTGTATTCAGGTTTGTGGTCAAGGGTCCTGTATTCAGGAGGTTTGTGGTCAAGGAGACCTGTATTCAGGTTTGTGGTCAAGGGTCCTGTATTCAGGAGGTTTGTGGTCAAGGGGTCCTGTATTCAGGTTTGTGGTCAAGGGTCCTGTATTCAGGAGGTTTGTGGTCAAGGAGACCTGTATTCAGGAGATTTGTGGTCAAGGGGTCCTGTATTCAGGTTTGTGGTGAAGGAGTCCTGTATTCAGGAGGTTTGTGGTGAAGGGGTCCTGTATTCGGGAGGTTTGTGGTGAAGCGGTCCTGTATTCAGGAGGTTTGTGGTCAAGGGTTCCTGTATTCAGGAGGTTTGTGGTCAAGGGGTCCTGTATCCAGGTTTGTGGTCAAGGGGTCCTGTATTCAGGTTTGTGGTCAAGGGTCCTGTATTCAGGAGGTTTGTGGTCAAGGAGACCTGTATTCAGGAGATTTGTGGTCAAGGGGTCCTGTATCCAGGTTTGTGGTCAAGGGGTCCTGTATTCAGGTTTGTGGTCAAGGGTCCTGTATTCAGGAGGTTTGTGGTGAAGGGGTCCTGTATTCAGGAGGTTTGTGGTCAAGCGGTCCTGTATTCAGGAGGTTTGTGGTCAAGGGGTCCTGTATCCAGGTTTGTGGTCAAGGGGTCCTGTATCCAGGTTTGTGGTCAAGGGTCCTGTATTCAGGAGGTTTGTGGTCAAGAAGACCTGTATTCAGGAGATTTGTGATGAAGGGTTCCTGTATTCAGGTTTGTGGTGAAGGGGTCCTGTATTCAGGTTTGTGGTCAAGGGGTCCTGTATTCAGGAGGTTTGTGGTCAAGGGGTCCTGTATTCAGGAGGTTTGTGGTCAAGAAGACCTGTATTCAGGAGATTTGTGATGAAGGGTTCCTGTATTCAGGTTTGTGGTGAAGGGGTCCTGTATTCAGGTTTGTGGTGAAGGGGTCCTGTATTCAGGAGGTTTGTGGTCAAGGGTCCTGTATTCAGGAGGTTTGTGGTCAAGAAGACCTGTATTCAGGAGATTTGTGATGAAGGGTTCCTGTATTCAGGTTTGTGGTGAAGGGGTCCTGTATTCAGGTTTGTGGTGAAGGGGTCCTGTATTCAGGTTTGTGGTGAAGGGGTCCTGTATTCAGGAGGTTTGTGGTCAAGGGGTCCTGTATTCAGGAGGTTTGTGGTCAAGGGGTCCTGTATTCAGGAGGTTTGTGGTCAAGAGGTCCTGTATTCAGGAGGTTTGTGGTCAAGGGGTCCTGTATTCAGGAGGTTTGTGGTCAAGGGGTCCTGTATTCAGGTTTGTGGTCAAGGGGTCCTGTATTCAGGAGGTTTGTGGTCAAGGGGTCCTGTATTCAGGAGGTTTGTGGTCAAGGGGTCCTGTATTCAGGAGGTTTGTGGTCAAGGGGTCCTGTATTCAGGAGGTTTGTGGTCAAGGGGTCCTGTATTCAGGAGGTTTGTGCTCAAGGGGTCCTGTATTCAGGAGGTTTATGGTCAAGCGGTCCTGTATTCAGGTTTATGGTCAAGGGTTCCTGTATTCAGGAGGTTTGTAGTCAAGGGGTCCTGTATTCAGGAGGTTTGTGGTCAAGCGGTCCTGTATTCAGGTTTGTGGTCAAGGGGTCCTGTATTCAGGAGGTTTGTGGTCAAGCGGTCCTGTATTCAGGTTTGTGGTCAAGGGTTCCTGTATTCAGGAGGTTTGTAGTCAAGCGGTCCTGTATTCAGGTTTGTGGTCAAGGGGTCCTGTTTTCAGGAGGTTTGTGGTCAAGGGGTCCTGTATTTATGTTTGTGGTGAATGAGACTTGTATTTAGGTTTGTGGTGAAGGGGTACTGTATTCAGGTTTGTGGTCAAGGGGTACTGTATTTAGGAGGTTTGTGGTCAAGGGTTCCTGTATTGAGGAGATTTGTGGTCAAGGGTTCCTGTATTTAGGAGGTTTGTGGTCAAGGGTTCCTGTATTTAGGAGGTTTGTGGTCAAGGGGTCCTGTATTCAGGTTTGTGGTCAAGGGGTCCTGTATTTCGGTTTGTGGTCAAGGGGTCCTGTATTTAGGTTTGTGGTCAAGGGGTCCTGTATTTAGGTTTGTGGTCAAGGGGTCCTGTATTCAGGAGGTTTGTAGTCAAGGGTCCTGTATTCAGGAGGTTTGTGGTCAAGCGGTCCTGTATTCAGGTTTGTGGTCAAGGAGTCCTGTATTCAGGAGGTTTGTGGTCAAGCGGTCCTGTATTCAGGTTTGTGGTCAAGGGGTCCTGTATTCAGGAGGTTTATGGTCAAGCGGTCCTGTATTCAGGTTTGTGGTCAAGGGTTCCTGTATTCAGGAGGTTTGTGGTCAAGCGGTCCTGTATTCAGGTTTGTGGTCAAGGGGTCCTGTTTTCAGGAGGTTTGTGGTCAAGGGGTCCTGTATTTATGTTTGTGGTGAATGAGACTTGTATTTAGGTTTGTGGTGAAGGGGTACTGTATTCAGGTTTGTGGTCAAGGGGTACTGTATTTAGGAGGTTTGTGGTCAAGGGTTCCTGTATTGAGGAGATTTGTGGTCAAGGGTTCCTGTATTTAGGAGGTTTGTGGTCAAGGGTTCCTGTATTTAGGAGGTTTGTGGTCAAGGGGTCCTGTATTCAGGTTTGTGGTCAAGGGGTCCTGTATTTCGGTTTGTGGTCAAGGGGTCCTGTATTTAGGTTTGTGGTCAAGGGGTCCTGTATTTAGGTTTGTGGTCAAGGGTTCCTGTATTCAGGAGGTTTGTGGTCAAGGGGTCCTGTATTCAGGTTTGTGGTCAAGGGGTCCTGTATTCAGGAGGTTTGTGGTCAAGGGGTCCTGTATTCAGGAGGTTTATGGTCAAGCGGTCCTGTATTCAGGTTTGTGGTCAAGGGTTCCTGTATTCAGGAGGTTTGTGGTCAAGCGGTCCTGTATTCAGGTTTGTGGTCAAGGGGTCCTGTATTCAGGAGGTTTGTGGTCAAGGGGTCCTGTATTTATGTTTGTGGTGAATGAGTCCTGTATTTAGGTTTGTGGTGAAGGGGTACTGTGTTCAGGTTTGTGGTCAAGGGGTACTGTATTTAGGAGGTTTGTGGTCAAGGGTTCCTGTATTGAGGAGATTTGTGGTCAAGGGTTCCTGTATTTAGGAGTTTTGTGGTCAAGGGTTCTTGTATTTAGGAGGTTTGTGGTCAAGGGGTCCTGTATTCAGGTTTGTGGTCAAGGGGTCCTGTATTTCGGTTTGTGGTCAAGGGGTCCTGTATTTAGGTTTGTGGTCAAGGGGTCCTGTATTTAGGTTTGTGGTCAAGGGGTCCTGTATTTAGGAGGTTTGTGGTAAAGGGGTCCTGTATTTAGGAGGTTTGTGGTCAAGGGTTCCTGTATTGAGGAGGTTTGTGGTCAAGGGGTCCTGTATTTAGGTTTGTGGTCAAGGGGTCCTGTATTTAGGTTTGTGGTCAAGGGGTCTTGTATTTAGGTTTATGGTCAAGGGGTCCCGTATTTAGGTTTGTGGTCAAGGGGTCCTGTATTTAGGATTGTGGTCAAGGGGTCCTGTATTTAGGATTGTGGTCAAGGGGTCCTGTATTTAGGAGGTTTGTGGTCAAGGGTTCCTGTATTCAGGAGATTTGTGGTCAAGGGGTCTTGTATTTATGTTTGCCAGGAATGAGTCCTGTATTTAGGTTTGTGGTCAAGGAGTCCTGTATTTAGGTTTGTGGTCAAGGGGTTAACACTACTGGCTGTTAGGAAAGGTAAGGGTATGGTAGGCTATCCAATGAACTTGTCAAACTTACTTTGCCACAGAAAGGAAACTGATGAATAATGATTTATCACATATGTTGTTGGAAAGTAACATGATGGATCAGTGCCCCATTCTTCCCTCCTTGGGAAGAGAGTCATGATGTAATCATCATGTATTGTGTCCATGACTTATTGACACTGGGTTTCTGGTGTTATGTGCAGCTGTTGTTTAGTTTGTAGGGTGGTTTTATTAATGTTGTTTTGAAGTCTGTTGTATGGTGTATTGATGTTTTGAAGTCTGTTGGATAGTGTATATCTTGAGAAAAAGTTTTGCTACTTTTCAGTCTGAACGGTGAAGAGTAAACAAGTCAGTGAGTGAGTGAGTGAGTGAGTGTGGTTCTACACACTTTATCAATATTCCAGCCATACCACACAAAGGTTCCAAAGAAAAGGTTTGATACTCTGTACCAGTGTGGGATAAAACCTGACTGAGGTACCAACACCTCAACATGAAACCTTTACTCAAGGGCCTTGTTTCACTTCGTTAATGTTGGATATCATTCTTTTCTATTGTTGTGCATTAATTCATGCAGGATTTCTGCAATTTCTTTGTACGTAACTCGTGGCTTATTTCTCAGTATTTAGTGTACACATGTTTCCAGTGAGCTGTCTTACCATAAAGAAACTAGATAGCTTTATCAAATTATTTCCAAGGTGTGTCTCAGGGGAGTACACTCCCAATCCATGTCCTGATTAGCTGAACCTGTGAAGAAAAACTCCTTCTAATCACCGTTTGTTTTATGTTTTCAGTCACAGAATATTAACTGTTTTGAAGATTCAAACTGCAAAACCATTGTTCTTTAATACCCTCTTGCACTTATAATGACAGCCTTGCACTGAGGAAGTTCGTTTGAAAGTGCTCAGTTACTGTGAAAACTGTTCATTCCTGTAGTTAAGGGTATTGTTTCCTGTCTGTTCTATAGGCTATCCTTTGATGGAGTTTTTTCTCAACCAGACCGGACGACCTTTTCTGTTCTCCTGTAGTTGGCCCGCTTACATTGTTGGCACTCTCAAAAAAGTGGTTAGTAGCCTTGTATTTGGCAACCTCTCACCTTTTCCTCTTGTGTGCACCCTGTGGGGATTCTGGGCAAGAGTTAGTTGCTGCTACTCCTGGATCCGATCCTCAGCTTATTGTAAGAGCTGCCATAGCTTTCTAATGGGCATCAATGCGTGATCTGGCTGCTTGTGTGTCATCATGCCTTGATGACATTGTGGTTGCATTGGTCCGAAACTGCTTTTACCTGACCAAGACATGCCTATTTAACATGGCTGCTATAGTAGGGGTAGAATAATGTTGCATAATCAATATTCATTCATGAAGTCAAGGAACTTTTATGGGTACCAACTTCAATATTATTTGAAACAACGTTCAGGGTACTTTATCAGGTGATCAAGGGGCAATAAGTAGTCCTGAAATATTACAAACAACAATTTAAAATAGTTAAAAGTTGTTAAATTGTTATCCATAAATGTTCCATGTTCCATCTTTCAACTTGTAGAGCCTATCTAACACTTAATATTCTTTGTGTGGCAACTAACAGGCTAATCGTGCTAATACAATTGTGGTTGAATTCTCCCAGGTTTGATTGTCTTTATGCGATATTCTGGTGACTGTGTTAGGATTCCAGGGCATTATTATGTGATTGATTGTCTTTGTGATATATTCTTGTTACTGTGTTAGGATTCCAGGGCATTATTATGTGTTTGATTGTCTTTATTCGATATTTTGGTGACTGTGTTAGGATTCCAGGGCATTATTATGTGTTTGATTGTCTTTGTGATATATCCTTGTTACCGTGTAAGGATTCCAGGGCATTATTATGTGTTTGATTGTCTTCGTGCTATATTCTGGTTACCGTGTTAGGATTCCAGGGCATTATTATGTGTTTGATTGTCTTCGTGCTATATTTGTGCGTCATTAATACTTGGAGTGGAGGAAGTTACATTTAGTTTCACAAGATTCAACCAATCTATAATATGTTTCATTCAATTGTAGTGCAATTTAATCATCTCACCCAGCTTATATAAGGACCTATGTGCCTGTGTGTCTACATACCAATTGGCAATATCTCTCTTCATATGCTTCAACATTCAATTCAACATTTAGCTAAGTACTTGAGCGCTAGTTTGCTTTTTCTGCTTCTGCTTTAGCTTAAATTACTGATATTTAATCCTTCTGCTAACAGTCACTATATGGCTGAAATAATGTAGGTGCAACGATAAATTTTAACTCACTCACTCACTCTTCTGCTTACCCACTGACCATGATGTAGGTGTCCAGAGTGTAGTGAGTGAGTTTGATTTTACGCTCCTTTTAGCAATATTTCAGCAATATCATGGCGGGGGATACCAGAAATGGGCATCACACATTGTACCCATGTCGGGAATCGAACCCGGGTCTTCGGCGTGACAAGCGAATGCTTGAACCTCTAGGCTACCCAACCGCTCCTGTCCAGAATGTAGACAGCACTTGGAGGACATGGTATAGTCAGTATACTCCATGCTGGGACTGTGCTCACACTATCATGTCTGTATTTAAGATGTTGACATATGGTACAAAAAGTATGCGAGATACATCCTAGTGCTGGATCTCATCTCTAAGCATAACCATGATGACAGTTTTTACCTTAGAAAAGTCAGTGGTCACTGTTGGCCATGCGACCATTTGATAGTCATTGGTTTGACTTCCAGAATCACCTGCAGGCAACAACTATTTTTCAGTTTACATTTCTGATTCAAATGGCCAAATCATAAACAGAAATAATTATAGAAAGATAACATCTGATAGGCTCATGTACCCACACATCCTTCATTTAGATCAGGTGCGGTGGGGAAACCTAGTGATTAAAGCGTTAGCTCGTCACGACAAAGGCCCGGGTTTGATTCCCGACATGTGTACAATGTGTGAAGCCCAATTCAGGTGTCCCATGATATTGGTGGAATATTGCTTAAAGTGGCATAAAACCATAGTCACTCCCTCACTCATTTAGATCAGGTGGTCGACGTTCACCCATGATTCATCTAAGATGATATAAGGGCAGTCGGGTAGCCTCTTGGTTAAAGCGTTCGCTCGTCACGCCGAAGACCCGGGTTCGATTCCCGACATGGGTACAATGTGTGAAGCCCATTTCTGGTGTACCCCACTGTGATATTGCTGGAATATTGCTAAAAGCGGCGTAAAACCATACTCACTCACTCACTGAGATGATATTCTATAAACATGTCTTTCGATCTTCACACACTCCGAGATATCATATTGGAGTAAAAGATCTGGTTTTAATGAGACTAGAACCGTCTAAGACCAGCGTCACTTTGTGCCTTCCTACCACATTAAGCTGACAGGCTGTGATATAAGTGGTATAAAATTGCATTGAACTCATTAAGTTAATGAGGTCTGAGTAGATGGCCTCGAGAGACAATGACATGCTATCAGTAGTATCATCCTGTCAGGTACTTTGTGTAGCAGCATTATCAGGGTTATCTAGGTGTTATCAAGGTGTTATCAAGGTGGTAACCGTTGAGTGTTGTTCTTGAAGTCCAGTCAAGCCTGTGTGGTTTCTTGGTCATTGATAACTCCTATAAACTTGCATGATAACATATCAGTGACTTAAGCCAAGATGTTATATCTAGTCACACTCTGCTTGAGAGGAGAGTACAGGTGTCCCAATCATCTAAGGCCAGTTACCTGTGATTGTGGGTTTGAGTGAGTGAGTGAGTGAGTGAGTGAGTGAGTATTGTTTTACCCCGCTTTTAGCAATACTCTAGCAATATCACGGCGGGGACACCAGAAAAAGGCTTCACACATTGTACCCATGTCGGGAATCAAACCCAGGTTTTCGGCATGATGAGCGAACGCTTTAACCACTAGGCTTATGTTTCTAGGTTTGTCAGTTTGATACCTGTGCTTGTGGGTTTTACCAAAGTGGTAAACATCTGAAACCTGCATCACTTCAGGCTTTCCTCCCACATTAAGCTGACATGCTGTGAGATAACTGGAATACTGTTCAAAGCAGTGTTAAAACCCAACTCACTCACTCACTCTTGCTGAGACAAGAACATGCTATTGATGAATTTCATGACGTCAGTAGGCTATCCTAGAGGTTAATGATGTCTTCGGGCATATTTTTAGGTCAGTGTACAAGGTGAAATGTGTGTTGGAAAGCTCTCAAGGCATATTTACAGTTAATAATCCACCTGTCTTCAGCTAAGATGCTAAGAATACTAGCTTAAAGTCATATCATAAAACATACAGCATTTTATTTGATATAAAAAGTTGATAAACCGCTTCGTTATGACAGGGCATTGCTTCTAAGGTTTAGCTATGAGGGGACATGGGTGCTCAGTGGCATTTATGATATATGAATCCATTCTCCGGCAACTAAAGTTCATTTCAAGGCGTCAATAGCGGTAATCTGACCGTGGTTGCTATAAATAACAGTGATTTGTGCGATCCACCGAACACTTTACACACGATTTCACCAAAATTATTGTAAGCAATATTGAATGAAATTTTGAATAAAATTGATAAAATATCTTACAAACATAAGTCCAGATATACAATGAACACGATTTTATAACCAGATAGCATAATCATGGGATTGCGTATTTCAGTTCATTAAAAATGTAAGTACATTTTGGGAGCCAATTGTTACCGTGCTCTATAACCAAAGGGCGCAATAGCGAGGGAACACTATGTATGTTATGAAAGTGACACTTGAATTTATTCTTTTTGTTCATACATCCAGCACCTCAGATATGAGGTGGGCGTGACCAAAATGCAAATGTCCGATTGACAAAAAAATATTTCTGGATCCCTGGTGCTCACTGTGTAGCATCTCTCAGGAGAATCATCATATCATTGGTTCAAATCATAGATTTGCCTTGATTATGTTTCTTGATTTGTCAGCATGATACCCGTACTTGTGGGTTTCACCAAACTGGTTAATGGAAAATGCATGCATTCCTTGGGTCTGTCACAATGTGACCACTATATTGACGTGCGTCATTTAGTTTTAACTCACTCACATGCTTTCCGGAAATACTGGCAGGGTTAACATGGTTAAAGCCAACTCACTCACTATCATCTTAACCTTTAATAATTTTTAATGAAGATACTTAAAGGAAATTGATCAGTATTGTAATAGTGAATATTTGTTGAAATACCATGCTTGTATTGTCGTTTGTTGTATGTTGCATCTGTAATATCTAGTTTACTGTTTACTGTATATGTTTTAATGAATGTATAATATGCTCCCTTCACTATATGGCTGAGTTATTGCTGATAAGATGTTTAATTCTGACACACTTACACCAGTAATTTGTTCATTTTTCACTATGATACTAATTTGAAATAGGTAACTCCACATGTACACACTTCACCTGTGATCTTGTCGCATGACACCAAACTACTATAGTGATAAGAGGTGAGGTGAGGCGAAATGGGGTTGAACGTCGCGTCCAAGATTATTGCACTTATATAGCGATATGTGTGTGTGTGGCTGCTTGTACTAGTCCGGACTGATGCCGATTTATAGTGCCAGCACACTGAGATACCATGCCGCAGTTTAACATGAATACCCAACTCAGACACAATATACTGACTCTGAGCCGACCAGTCCTTGTTTTAGCCCCTTAATGCTGAGCACCAGACAGGGTAACAACAAGTACCATCTTTTAACAGCTTTTGGTATGCCGCGGCCGGGGATCGAACCCCTGACCTCCTCCCTCCCCAACTAGTGTTTCTTGGCACCCAGCCTTCACAAACAATGTCAGAGTGCAAATTTTTGAATAACTTGGAAGTATTATATTGTCCTTTTGCCAAACCATTTACCTTTGAGTATGTCCAAGCCTTTCCTTTGGAATATAATCTCATTAGAATTAACAGCATTAAGGTTCTAAAACAAGGACTGGTCTGCTCAGTCAATATACTATGTCTGAATGGGGTATTCATGTTAAACTGTGGCATGGTGTCTCAGTTGGCTAGCATAAGAAAATCGGATTAGTTCAGACTAGTATAAGCAGCCACACACAAATGCAAACACATGCTTGCACGTCGCTATATAAGTGCAATAATCTTGAAGCAAGGTTAAACCCCATTCCACCTCACCTCTAACAGCATGTAGGGGTCGAGTTTCCTACCTTGGCCACTGTGTTTAAAAATCGCTAAGATATAGATAATGATTTCGCAACTCCCAACATATTTAGATACATATTAATCTTGTACAAAAATAAGTGTCATATTTTATATATTGCAATATGATATTTGTAGTGTTTGTAGTACTCAATATTGTCAGTTGCTGTCCAATATATATATCAAAGTCATTGGTGTTCCACTTGTTATAGGACTACAATTGCTATGGTTACAGAACAATTTGAAACCCACTTTGTCTCCTATCTGTGCAGCCCAACTACACTGCCATCAAAGAACACTGCAACATCTGGCGCAACTACGATGACATCCAGGACTCCTGGGACAGTGCCCTCAAAATCATCGACTACTACGGCGAAAACAAAGGCAACTTTGCCGGTGTCGCAGGCCCTGGTGGATTTAATGACCCTGATGAGGTACTACTGCAGACACCTACCTGAAGGGCATAACACATACAATACAATATGTAGCGTGGCTTGGTTTGGGGCTCATTGTTCTTTCAGGACAAGGGGAAGATGGGGATGCTTCCATATTTAAAGCAAACCAGGCTTTTCTAGTTGGACAACTGAACATCCTCATCTGACTTCTGACAAGAATTAATCGATCTGTATAAAAAATTAATTCTGTGTTCGTGTTGCCATGTATATAAACAGGTTTTGGGTATATGGGACTGAGATGAAAACGAAATTATCATGTGTGCATACACTATATCATGTTTACAGTTCCACCAGAAGATTTCGTTGTGTTTTTGTGTTCTAAATTTCAACCAAACAAACTTAGGAACAAACTCGCATTTGTTTTTTAATGTCTAACTAATAACATTGTCTTATTGATTCTATGTAAATTGTTGAGGAAGGCACTATTCTCTGAGTCCCGACTGTAAACAATGAGTGAATGCTTGTTGTCTCTGTACCAACTTGCTGATGTGAAGTACAACACGACTGGTGTTTTCTTCCAGCTCCTCGTTGGAGATTTCGGCTTGAGTTACGACCAGCAGAAGGTGCAGTTTGGAATGTGGGCCATGATGGCGTCGCCGTTGTTCATCTCGACTGACCTTCGCAAAATTAAACCAGAGTTCAAGGCCATCTTGCAGAACAAGAGAGTCATTGCCATCAACCAGGACCCTCTGGGTGCCCAGGCAACCCAACTGTACAAGGTGAGACTTGAGGAGGTGCTGGTCGAGGGGTGTTTGCTTGTATGATGTGGCCGAAAGAGTGAACATTGTGTGTATTAGTGTTCCCTTACAAAACAGGGGGCATGGGTGGCTCAGTCATCTAAGGCGCCACGATTCGCTGTGCAGAATTGTGTCCCTTGGGCACGCCAAAAACCTATGATTGTGGGTTCGAATTCCGGTTCACCCCGATTATGTTTCTAGGTTTGTCAGCACCATGCCCGTGCTCGTAGGTTTCGACAAGTGGTAAACGTCTGAGACCTGCATCACTTTGGGCTTTCCTCCCATATTAAGCTGACATGCTGCGATATAACTGTAATACTGTTAAAAGCAGTGTTAAACCCACTCACTCTTACAAAGCACTGCTGTAATGTTGCTAACCACACACTAACACCCCTCCCTCGCTCCCCTCTCTTCCCCCCTCTCTATACCTCTCTCTCTCTCTCTACCTCTCTACTTGCAGTTTTGTACATTGTGTGTATTAGTGGTCATTGCTGAAATATTGCTAACTGCGTCATAACACCTCACTCACTCCCTGTTTCTGTTCCAGGCTAGTACGATTCAAGTATGGCTGAAACCTCTGGCAGTAAATGGAACGTTGGCCGTTGCCATTCTCAACACAGACAACCAGGGAGAGCCAGCAAAGATAACTCTGAACCCCAAACAGATAGGTGCGCTCAGCCCTAATGGTGTCAACATCACCGAGACCTTCGATAACATCTATGTAGGAGCGTTTAAACCCACCGAAACCTTTACTCTGTCCATCAACCCCACGGGGATCTTCCTGGCTACGGTCGTACCGCTGGCGTAATGGGAGGTGAATCAACCACACCACAAGTGCAATTGTGTATGAGGCTGTAACTTGCTCAGGTGTTGATATATTCATGACAAAAAAACAATAAATGTGACTAACCAGGAGAAAAGTGACCTCATGGGTGCCAGGATACAATTATGCAGTGAGGTCATAAAGAAAGACGTTTGACGTCAGCTTCCGTAAAAAGCACCAAGTGTGCGGACTAAAACAATATCGTATTTTTCACTTGTGTCTTCGTAATGTAATTTAAACATGTTTTCAAAGCATTTCAGCATATATGTCTACTTTCAACTAATCAGACATATTTAAGACCTGAAATTATTCCATAAACAGTCATAAGTCTGAAAATGGGACTTTGCAGAAATTGAGTCCATATATTTGATGATATGTATTTCTGTAATAGATATGAATTGCAGCTTATGAATTTTATTTTTGTGGACCTCAGATACTGTAGTTTTAAAGTAAAATAAGAAGTCAAAATGTGATTATTTACCCATAAGGTCCCTTATCTCATGGATGGTCACAAATAATGCTCCACCATTTCTTTACATTCACAACTCATAGTTTGTTTGGAGGAAAAATGTGATGAACCCAAATTAAACGCTGACTAGCTTGAGTTTCTTTATTAGACACCATAGGCCTGTGAGAGAGTTGTAATTGGTTCTTACTCTCCCTTTGATAAACATATTCATGTCTCAATTTCACAACCAAAATGTATATCTACATTGCAAAATAATACTTAAGCAATTACTTAATTTGTGCACTGGAAAGGCAATTCTTGAATCAAACCTGTTAAGTACTACTGACTGTTAGAAGTTATGTTGCAATAGATGCGATTGAAAGTTGTACATTTTCCATGTGTGTTACATATTTTTTAACAGATGTCTTCTTGTTGTTAGTTTGTTACTGTGTGTATATTTTATTATATATTGTAATATAATGATGTTCATAAAATTTGCTGACAATAGATTCTTTACTTTCATGAGTAATGATTTCATGTTTATTGTCCTTAATTCACATCATCATCCAGTGTCTTAGCATTTCTTGATGTGAATCAATTACACACTGGTAGAATTTAAGACACAGACTGATCTTAAATCCAGGAGAAGTTTACACAATGTCAGTATTTTAATCATTGTCCATTAATATTTGCAACTAAGTTATTCTTTATTGAGTGGCATGAAATCCATCTCATTTGCCTACTCACATGTCAATATTCTATCATTAGACAAGACTTTGAGAACATGCAGGTGAGAATATCATGTGACAATAACAGGTCTGTCCAAAACATTTGTTGGGTGTCCCAGAAAATCCTATTTGACAATTGTAAATCATTGATTTAAATGCCAGTACTTCATGTTTGAATGTTAGAATAAAATCACCTCATATAGTTGTCCTTAAAGGCGACTTTGTTTGTCGAAAGAGGCGACTAATGGGATTTGGTGTCAGGCTCGCTGACTTGGTTGATGCATGTCATCGTATCCAGGTTGCGTGGATCGATGCTCATGATGTCAATCACTGGATTGTCTGGTCCATACTCATTTATTAACAGACCGCCATCATATAGCTGGAATATTGCTGAGTGCGGCGTTAAACAAACAAACAAACAAACAAACTAAACATATGAAGTCACAATGTGATGCCTCACAGCAAGATGTATATACTATGGTCACTTATTTCCATGGAGTGGACAAACTAAACATTCCATGAATCACATGTCCATCCTTAATCAACCCATGTTCATGCGTCAATCAACTTCCTTTGAACATAACATCAATTTAGAGTTTTCAAATCACATTATTAAACTGCTTTGAAATTAGTTCAAATAGATCACATATTAAGTATATATTTATTTACTTTCTTTGGGTATTGACCTGTTTGAGGATACAACTTTTACCAATATCTCAACAAAGTTTGCATTTTTTGCAGGAAGTGTTTTTCCTGTCAAAAGCAGCTGAGTGTGTTTTAAGGTGTATGTATTGTCAAGCTCATTATATTGAGATCTTTTACTCAAATATGATACCCCTCAGCATGAAGATCTGAAGACACCTCCATCTGACACATACAACTGTCTGATCAGCCAATCAGTGTGTTAGTCAGCGAAGCGTTCAGACCAACATATAAGATTTCTGTATCTCACAAATGAGCTTTAATGACCTTTCAGAGTGGCGGGGTAGGCTTGTGGTTAAAGCGTTTGCTGACCATGCCGAAAACCTGGGTTTGATTCCCCACATGGGTAACATGTATGAGGCCCATTTCTGGTGTCCCCGCAAGGATATTGCTGGAATAATGCTAAAAGCAGCATAAAAACACACTCACTCACTTAATGACCTTTCCCAAATGAACACAACTAAGGTTGAACCAGTACATTATAATTTCTGAATGGAAGAGTAGAGAAATGAAGCCAAATTGTTTAAGAAAGCTGAGATCTGATTGGCTCAAGAACCCGTGCATCATTCATTTAGATTGGGCGGTCAAAGGTCGCTCAGGCTTCACCTGATGTGATCTTCTGTGGCAGTGTCCTCAGATCTTAATGCAGAGTGGCATCACATGGGAATAAAAGATCTGAATTTAATGAGATTTTATGTGTTGTAGACATTGTAATGACACTGTGTGTAAATGTCCTTTCGTCATTGTCCTTCTGTGAAGAAATATGGTGTGCTTTTTATTTTATTAAAAATCATATATCGTGTATTCATGGAATGTTTTGTTTTGCTGACAATGTCCCAAGTGAGAGTAAGGTATTAATTGCACACTGAACAGTGTGGTCTGTCTTGAGCCATGTTTGTTTGTTTGTTGTTTAACGTCGCACTCAGCAATACTGCAGCTATATGACGGCGGCCTGTAAATAATCAAGTCTGGACCAGACAATCCAGTGATTGACATCATGAGCATCGATCCACGCAAATGGGATACAATGACATGCATCAACCAAGTCAGCGAGTCTGAACACCAGATCCCGTTAGTCGCCTTTTACGACAAGCATAGTTGCCTTTTATGGCAAGCATTGGTTGCTGAAGACCTATTCTACCCCTTGAGCTAAGTACATGTGTGGTAGTGGAACACTGTTTTACTATCAGCTGTGTTAAGTGGAAATTCAACATGCACTTTTTGAACCCTGTTGAATATGACTACACAGACAATTGATACTGTTAATTAAAATAACATCTACCACAGACATTTGATACTGTGTTAATTAACATAACATCTAACATGTCTAATGACCGCAGATTTCTATAGCTTCTGAAAGTTTTCTTTTGGTGAAATCCTGAGTTGTCTGGTATACATTCACGGTTCACCGCACGGCTGATCTATCCATTTGGCACTCCCAGTACCAACGGCAGAATCTCTTGACTTATGGGGGGCGGTCGGGTGGCCTAGTGGTTACAGCTTTCGCTCGTCACGCTGAAGACCCGGGTTCGATTCCTGACATGGGTACTATGTGTGGAGCACATTTCTGGTGTCCCCCGACGTGATATTGCTGGAATATTGCTAAAAGGGGCGTAAAACCATACTCACTCACTCTTGACTTATGAATTGGCACTCCCGGGACTAGCCGAAATTCAGATTTGGCGTTCCCGGTCCATAACCAGTTCTATACAATAACCTTTTCTGTGAATGTGATGAACAGCAGCTAAATACATCCTGCGGAGCAGTCCTCATTCTTTCCATGGTTAGAATGTTGCAGTATGCTGTAGTTTGTTTCCATGAGAAGAGTGGCAGTCGGGCAGCCTAGTGGTTAAAGCGCTCGATCGTCACGCCGAAACCGGGTTTGATTCCTGACATGGGTACAATGTGTGAAGCCCATTTCTGATGTCCCCCGCCATGATATTGCTGGAATATTGCTAAAAGCAGCGTAAAACCACACTCACTCACTCACTCACTCACTCCTTGAGAAGATAAACTACTGAAAACAAGTTGGAACAATTGGAAGGCTGTGTGTTGCAATATCCACCAGACATGACAGATTAACTAGTCGAATGAAAAGATCGGGTGTTCTTTAACTTCTTTTGAGTAGTATAGATGCTTTCCCCAACAAGTCCATCGTGGTTGCCATGGAAACAAATTACAATGGGTGCTCTGCATGATTATCGGTGTGTTGTTCGGCTTTAGCTGAAAAGACTATTCGAAAACAAGGTAACATTTACTTTTTTATTTTAACAATTTAGTACCTGCTAGAAAAGAAGAAAAAAAACTTTTTCATAAGGAAAAAAGTCAATTTGTGAGGTTATACAGACTTAAAGTTAATGATAGCACAAGATGTCATTGTTGACCTCATGTTAAACTGTTACCGTCAGGATATTGTTTTAGACATAAAAGACACTCATTCACTGAAATAGCTTTATTAAAATATGTGAAAAATTATCTCAGAAGTGATCTATTAATACAAAGGTTTGAACGCTCATTTCATGAAAAAATGGAGCTTCCTGGTTAGAAAATATCGCCAGGAACATTTGCTGGTTGTGAGACACGACCAAATGGATTGGATGGCCAGGCTTGGTGACCTGGTTGGGAGCCTGGACTGGCCCAGACTCGATTATTGTTGGAATATTGCCAAGCAAGGTCTTTGACAACAGCAGCAGCAAAATTCGTACAATAGACTCACTTCAGTAACAACTTCTCTGGTTTGATATTATGAAAGTGTACAGATATGGGTGGTGTATTCACATAATTCCACTACAGTCACAGGTTTCTGGCACATCATATTATTATATGTTCCCCAATACCCATAAACTGGCAAGACTATTCTCCAACAACAGCACTAAACACTTGCAAAAATTATGTAATTTTATCTCTATACTCATGAATGAGTTCTAAGACCCTTCATACGCATTAACAACATGCGCCTGCAGTTGTGTTTGCAAACAAAACAGCACCAACGCTCAAGATCCTTTTGGGAGAAATTCTTCAACTTATGGTAATTCAAGCGCCATGTTGTTAGTACGAAGGACACCTATAAGAAAATTTGAAAAGTCACATTTAGCTTGCCCTAAAAAAGCGTCTATGCTTGTCCAAAGAGACGACTAACGGGATCGGATGGTCAGGCTCGCTGACTTGGTTTATGCATGTCATCATATCCCAATTGCTCATGATCTTGGCTCATGATGACAATCACTGGATTGTCTGGCCCAGAAAACTCGATTTTTTACAGCCCGCCGTCATATAAGTGGAATATTGCTGAGTGCGGCGTTAAACAACAAACAAACAAACAAGCATAATGCACATTGGTTCTAGTTTAATTATTTTAAATCTGGTCTTTGTTTCCAATTTAGACATGTAACCTATTTTAACTGATAAATGTTGGCACCATATTTCACCTTTAAATTATTATGGTACCATGGTGACACGTCCCGATGTCACATGACATGCACGCGGTAATCGTTATGCAGTATTCAGCTGGTAATTGTTTGTTTATTTGATGATCATGTGAAGCTTTTGTTTACAACATGCCCTCCACTCACGTGACTTCCTGAACACAAAAGCTGGCGGCCCGGATGTTCACAAAAGCATCTGTCACGGGACCCATTCGCAGTCAATACCGCGTCGCGTGATTCACCAGTCATGTGCCGTCCCCGATACACTTTAATGGTTGTATATGGCAATAAATATTGATGCGTTTCTCTGTTAGAAAATGCCACTCGTGTTCACTTAGTCGGAGGGACTAGCTCGTGGTTAAAGCGTTCGCTCATCACGCGGAAGGAACGGGTTCGATTCTTCACGTTCTGGCAATGTATGGAGCCCATTCTGTGATAAAGCTGCAATATTGATAAACCTGCGTAAAACCACCCCAACTCTCTCAACTCTTGTCGAGTTAAATATTTCATTTGTGATCAGTATGGGACGAAATTTTCGTGGGTCTAACGAAAACTATCTGGAACCTCTGATAATTCGATCTGGTGTAATGAGTTTTTTTATGGAAAAATAGCGTGCGTAAAAAATCTTGCAAATGGACATATATGTAATTGATCTTTTTTATCAGCATAGATGTACATATAAGGGCAGCCATTGGTATTGTTTTGTATTTTGAGTTCATTTTTCGTATGTATATAATGACCTTTTATTCGTAACATTCATTCTTCATTTGTAGCATTATTGCGTTCTTTTGTCCCCTATTTCAACTTTGCATTTTTTGACCGAATAGCTGCCCATATAACCCCCCCCCCCCCCCTCCTCCTCCCTCTTTGAAAACTGAAACTTGAGAGTTGATGTAACAATGTCGCTACAGAAACAGCATGTCCTATAATTTCTAAGTTTTGCCGGTTTTCTCGGTTTCTGTAGCGTGACCAGGGAATTTATCGAGCTCTGTTTGTTAAAGGAGTACAATGTCCTCATCACCTATTGCTACAGCAGACGCGACAGCTGAGATCACGTACTACCACTAGGCCTACTACTAACATCAGGGGGCACGGGTGGCCCAGTCGTCTGAGGGGCCGCGATTCGCTGTGCAGAGTTGCGTCCCTTGGGCACGCCAGAAACCTAGGATCGTGGGTTCGAAACCCGGTTCGCCCCGGTTATGTTTCTAGGGTTTTTCCGAAGTGGGAATCGGGGGACCAGCATCACTTCGGGCTTTCCTCCCACATTAAGCTGACACGCCGTGATATAACTGGAATACTCTTAAAAGCGGCGATAAATCCAACTCACTCACTCACTCACTAATATCACTTCTTTTACTAGTACTACTACTTTACGACTACTACTACTACTACTACTACTACTACTACTACTACTATTACTACTACCTCTGTCACGTCCGTGGCCTAATGGATAGTGGTCGGTGGTTCAATCCTCGGCCACGTCATACCAAAATACGTTAAAAGATGACACTATAGTGGCTCGGCATTAACGGGATAAACAAGGGAAGTATAAAACAAGTCAGTATACTGTGTCTGAGTCACCTCACCTCACAATTGTCACTATACTGCCACAACAACAACAATAACTACTTTATCTGTATTTCTGTATAAATTACCACCAAAGACAATAAATAGATCTTAATTGTGCACCCCCCCCCCCCTTTTCAAAAAAGCTGTATCCGCCCATGCTACTACTACTACTACTACTGCTACTACCACTACTACTACTAATAATAATACTACTACCACTACTACTACTACTACTACCACTACTATCAACAGAATACACCCCAAGTTACCATAAAAAACAACATTTGCCAAACTACCACTTCTACTAAGTAAGGGAAAGAATTTATGGATGAACAACTTCTTTATTACAATTAGGCTCAACTTCTTTATTACAATTAGGAACAACTTCTTTATTACAATTAGGAACAACTTCTTTATTACAATTAGGAACAACTTCTTTATTACAATTAGGAACAACTTCTTTATTGCTTGATAACAGTGTTAGAACCTACACCGAAACGTTGCTCCTAAATGTAATAAAGAAGTTGTTAATCCATAAATTCTTATCCTTACTTAGTTCCCGAACTTCAAAAGTTACTACTACTACTACTACTACTACTACTAAATATATATATATATATATATAAAACAACGATTTCCTAAAACACATATTTATACAAGGTACCATAAAAAAGCAGTTGTCAAACTCCCGGGAGGATGAGCGCATGACCAGCTTGAGTGACAATAACGTGTCACGTGACCCGCTCCCACACGTGACCTGTTTTGACGGGCTACTTGAAGAAAGGTCCGGAGAAGCACGCCTCTCAAGCTGATTGACAAGAACCACGGTAGGTCGATCTTTTAATTGCAGAATCTCAACTTTAACCAGTGTTCTTATCAGTAGCACAATGTTGTGGTGAACACTGGCCAGTGTCAGCTTGTGTGTTCATTCAATTTTGATCTAGAAATCTATATTACCCACTGCAGGTTGAATCGTGAACTGGTGTTGTATCGATCATTGCTACATAGAGTTCGGTTGTGACACTTTTGTCAATGTGCTAGTGATGCCCGCAAACGTCTACGAAATTACATTCGTATTGTTTTGTAAGTCATGTGATACGGCTCGAAAGTGTGTTATTAATAGTTCGAGTGCCGGCAGGCTTGATCTGATGTCACATGATGTGAGGTCAAAGGTTAGGCAAATCTCGCAGACGCCTTCGTCGAGTCTTCAAGGCCCGCTCTTACACGTAAAACAACACGTCTGATTCTAAATATAGACGGCGAATACATAAATTTACTTCATTTACAATGCATATGATAACAAAAGCAAATTATTTTATTTACAGTTTGGTTCTGACAGATTTTTTTTATGAACTGAACATTGGAACTTGTTTTTATTTAAACAAGGCACGACTCCAGATAGATCTAGACAGATACCTGGGCAGCTAATGTACTGTCGGGTGTACGATATCGACCGGAAGGTTATTCAAATTAACCTGCCTGGCTATCGATCTAAGGGAGATAACTCCATTATATACTTATCGCGTGTATATTTTTGACATGTACCCAGTGTTATATCAGATCACACTAGATAAATCAATAATTATAACACGCAATCCCTCCAACACACAAGCTTCTAGTGAAGATGCAGGTTAGAATTGGTCTTCATCAACCCATGTTTGCCGTAAGAGACGACTACGCTTGTAAGAGTCGACTGAGGATATCGGGTGGCTCGCTGACTTAGCTGATGCATGTCATCGTATCCCAATTGCGTGGATCGATGCTCATGATGTCAATCAACCTTGTCCAGACTCGATTATTTACAGACCGCCGTAATATAGGTGACATATTGCTGAGTGCGGCGTTGAACAACATTCGCTCAGTCATATCTAAACATACTTTGGCAATTTGACGAAAATGAATTAAATCGCCATTAAATAAAAATATGTACCCCCTATATGTAAATTACATATAGGGGGTACATATTTTTATTTACTGACCAATAATGAGATCCTGTGTCATGAGGGAAGCACAACTGTTTAGGATCGAGATACACTTAGGGAGAGGTCGGGGTGGGAGGTGGAATTGTTTTTGAATTAACCAACGACATGACTCTTCGATATTGTGTTGTAGTGATTTAATGTTTGCATAAAGATCACGGTTTACCACTCACAGTTTCAGCATGTATGTCGTATTCGTCGTCGCATTGACGTGTCTGGGCGTATGGGTGGACGCTGTGAACAACGGCCTCGCAAGGACGCCGCCGATGGGATGGATGTCATGGCAACGTTACCGGTGTATTACTGACTGCGTTCAACAGCCTGACAACTGCATCAGGTGAGCTAACTTGCTGGGGTAAAGGTTATTATTCCAACCAGGTGAGCTGCATGTTTGGTCATAGCATATTGGTCAAACCTGCACTAGATTAGGGTGAAAATACATCAAACCATATAATATAAATATCAGTAGATTCTAGTAGTAAGAGTATTAATTGGTTAGCCGGGAGGTAGAGGCAGGTGCAGAATATAGCAAGAAAGTGTAAAATATAATCGTGGCAAAAATAAAGGAACCTGCCAGATTTCGAGAAGGTTTATTCATTCTCTATTTATTAAACACTTCATATTCACAAACAATACACATGAAATGTTGGAGGGAATGTGGTGTGGCACGACATACCATTCGTCACCACTCGCCCCTTTCCGTAACCTGCAAGAAGACTCGTCCCCCAATCGATGAATGTTATGTGCGAAAATAAGGCAAACTAATCAGAATGCGCGTATGATTTCAAGTTCTTCGTCAAAGAATCCATCAGAAATAATTTTTTATTTTACATATGTCTTGCATCTAAAAATATACCTTAGATACAGTTAAATGTGTTCAATCATACTGTATAATTCCGCATGTCCCGATGTGATTTAAATTGCATCTGAAATATATATAGTATATAGGGAAATACATGTGAACCATTACGCAACGAGTTGACAATTGTTTTAGGTATGCCCGTTTGCGCTAAGACGGAACCCGGTCGCAAAAATGGCCATGAGTCCCGGAATAACACGAGTTGGTCACGAATGACGACAGCCAGTTTTGTCATCTCACAGTACCTATACGACACATCCAGCACATGATGCTCTTTGTAAACTGAGGGGCGAAAGTAACTATACCTCTCAGTCGATTATATGTATTTGGACCGCCTCCATGGTCTAATGGTAGAGCGTCCGCCAGGAGAGCGGAAGGCCCGGGGTTCGATCCCCAGCCGCGTCCTACCAAAAGTCGTTAAAAGATGGTACTTGTTTTTACCCTGTCTGGCGCTCGGCATAAATGGGCTAAAACAAGGACTTGTCGGCTCGGAGTCAGTATACTGCGTCTGAGTGGGGTATTCATGTTAAACTGCGGCATGGTATCTCAGTGGTCAATCACTGATCAATCGGAAGGGGTGCTAATTGGTATTGTTCACTAGCCAATATATTAGCAAATATCGCCGTGGGCGCTTATTACGTCGAATACGGTAATAATAAATACATTTAGACTATATAGAAACTTATTAACGAAGGACAGCACAACTAGACTCTCACGGACTTATTTTTAAAACTAGCATGTAACAATAATATATATCAGTATACATAACAATACAATATAAAAAAGTACTGTATATCAACTTTATATAACAGTATATGCCGATAATCACTATACAAAGTCATACAGTGACAGGATAGCAAACTTACGGATTTGATAAACAAATGTCTACTTTTAGCGAGAGTCTCTTCAAGCGTATGGCTGACAGGCTTGTTAGTGACGGCTACAAAGATGTCGGCTACGAATACATCAACATCGACGACTGCTGGCCTTTGAAAGACCGCGATGCCGAGGGCAAGATCGTCCCCGACCCAACCAGGTTCCCCAGCGGAATGGCCGACCTGGCTAAATACGTAAGACATCAGGGTAGTTGATCCTCAACAACTCATGCTTGTCGTAAGAGGCGACGGGGGTGGTCAGGCTCGCTGACTTGGTTGATGCATACCACCGTATCCTAATTGGGCAGATCAATATGGTGTCAGTCACTGTATTGTCTCCCCCAGATTCGATTATTTACAGACCGCCGTCATATTACTGGAATAATGCTTTGTGTGGCGTTAAACAACAAGCAAAACAATACTGAGAGTGAGTGAGTGAGTTTGATTCAGCGTCGTTTTGTTCCGAGTGAGACAGGAATGTCAGAACCATTAAGTATTAAGCTTCTAAGATCTGCTTCACCTGAGCTTTATTCTCGCTTCGCCATGGCACGTCATGGTATTCCGTCATGGTATTCCGTCATGGTATTCCGTCATGGTATTCGCCCACTTTATTAATTTGGATTTAAGAATAAATTTTAAGTAAACGTAAATAAGTAATGATGAAATGGCAGTTTATTCTTAACTTCTGTGAAAAAATAATTTCAGATTCGAACCATACAGGCGGGACGAAAGCCGATACTTAATAGATCTTTTATCAGCGAATGTATAATTAATTTGTTAACTTTAAGTTTATTGTTAACCTGTTTATTGTTATTTAAGGCAGTTGTCTTGTCCATGTTTCAATTCACCTACTCGGCGTTTGTCATTGCTGTTTATCGTCCTCGATTATCCAGTGTACCATATCTAGAGGGTAATTAAGGATGAAGGTGCTCTGTTTCCCTCCATTTGGAAATGAAATCGGGAAACGTTTGTCTGGAAACCCTGCCACCTGATCACTGACTGATGGGAACGTCTCTCGTTCTTCAAGATATTCTCTGTATCAATGATTCGTTAATTCGGAAGATTCACTGTGAAGATTATATCTGTATTAACGAGGTTTATTGCACTGATATACACATGTCGCCATGTGTTCTTCTCCTGCTTGCTTTGTGTTGGTCTCAAGCTGATGCTCTTCTCCAGATGCACTCTAAAGGCCTTAAGCTCGGCATCTACGGCGACTTCGGCACGCTGACATGCGGCGGCTACCCTGGCAGCAAGTTCTACATGGACGTCGACGCTCAGACGTTTGCAGACTGGGGCATCGACTCCCTCAAACTTGATGGCTGCTACACCAACCCGGACGATTACGCTACGGGTAATTTCTGTATTCGGACTCCAGGGGCGGTATTCATAAACATTCTTAGAATTTTCTTAAGAATACTCTTAACACACTAAGAAAATTCTTAGCTAAGTGTAACCCTTCGGAGTGTAGTCATAATGACTCTGAGCGTAACTTTTAGTGCTAAAAGTTTTTATGAATATGACTTAAGAATATTCTTAGATTTAAGAGTAACCTTTGGTATTTCTAAGAATTTTCTCAGACTTAAGACCTCTTTAGCACTAAGAATGTTTATGAATACCGCCCCAGGGCTTTGATTAGGACTCCAGTAACACATACTAATAGCGCAAGTGAGAAAGTGGGGAGTTCGTCATAATGCTACAGGGTGGGTTCATGTCATCGCTATGTCGGGTCAGCTCATACAGAAGCGATCAAAGTGATTGTGTTTCTCATCGTATAGAGACTGTGTTCATCATTGCTCGTACGAGAATTGCCAGTTTATCTGGTCCAGACTTGCAGTCGGTCGCGCTATTGCTATTGTAGTGTTAACAAAAGTGTAAGGTGTCAAGCATCGCCACCTCTTGGCAGACGCATATTTCCAATAGTCACCCCTTGAGAAATGTAACTTCTTCGCTAGCATTTTTATAGTAACATGGAATTAGTGAATACTGTATCCATGGCAGTAACATCCTTGAGCGAGTGACTTGGGTGTTCCGCCGCTGGGAACAGTATTTCATTTACATGATGAGGTGTCTGCTTGATGTGTGAGGCAAGCCGGAAGTAATGCAAGTTTTAGACCTTTACTTCTATAATGAAAGCAACAAGCAGGAGTGCGTTACAGACAAACAAAGATTCACAGTCGGAGCAAATCAGGGATTCGAATGGACACATACGTGGGTATGTTTAGAGGTGATTGTCGATTGTGAATACGCCTTAATGCGATTGTATTTAACATGTAAACATCGAAGTTGTATGCCAGTAGACTAATGCTTATTGCTGTTCCTTATCCCAGGCTACCCGCTGATGGAGTTCTTCTTGAACAAGACGGGCAGACCAATCCTGTACTCATGCAGTTGGCCAGCATACGTAAAAGATGTACGTCATTTCCCATTTATTGGAATTATTTTCATGATTCATATTTGACTCCGCAACCGTCGATTTTATGCCAATTACACATAAGTAATATGTACGGTCAAGGGTAAATAAGGATGAGCGCTATCACACGTTTGTTAACGTATAGGAATAAGGATAAAATCATTATGCAGACACTACGTTGTGAAAAAAGATACAGACTGTAGGTCCATACTGGAAATCCCTGATCTACAGGCACGCTGGGAGAATGTCTTTAAAAAAAACTCACGTGTGTAAGAGCCGATAAAGTGAGGATCGGGTGTTGACATGTGGCTTGGCTGTGTGTCATCGTACACCGTTCCTGATCATGTCATGATCAGCGACTAAGGTCAGTTGTGACAACACCCTTCGCATGTTCATCCCACGTATGCCCTCGGCGGGGATTCCGGGTTAGAATAGGTTCCCAGCAACCTACATTGGTCGCAAGAGGCGACTTAATGGATCTGGTGGACAGGCTTGGTAACTTGGTTTATTGAGGGTCATTGTACACCGATGGCGTGCCGATGACACCCCCCTCCCACCCCACCCCCATGTAGCTGGAATAATGCTATGGTAGTAGTGCCGTGTTGAACAACACTGACAGATACACACAGAGATAATAGTGATCTGTATTGTCTGTTCACACACTCGTATGTTTTCTTCACCAGCCTGACTACAAGACTATTGCCGACAACTGCAACATCTGGAGGAACTATGGCGACATCCAAGATTCTTGGGACAGCGTTAAGAGCATCATCGGTTTCTATGGGGACGACACAGATAACTTCACCAAGTTCGCAGGCCCAGGCAACTTCAATGACCCAGACATGGTGAGCATGCTTGTTTTATTTTGGTAACCCACTTTAAAAAAGTAAAGATATAAAAATTCTATCTTCGATTTATTTTATAAGAGATAAACCTTGTGAACTGTACTGTAGGAAATTTATTAGTTATCATTTTCAGACTGAATTTACTTGTCACTGAAGTTGTGGCTGTTAAGATGGTATGTCTTGTTCAATTATTGAGGTTAGAAAAATTGTAAGAAAGAAAATGGACAATTGTCATGAACAAATTAAATAGTTTTTCGCGCCTCTTTTCAATTATGGTGTGACATTTTTAAATGGGCACTGTAACATATAACAACATATTTGGACCAATCAAAAGTTCAAGTGGCGGTAAGGGGCTCCGATATTGGGACATTTTACCTCTGGAAGTGATTGTTCTGTACAGATTATTCTGGGCAACTTCGGTCTGAGTTACGACCAGCAGCGAGTGCAGATGGCGATGTGGGCAGTCATGGCGTCCCCACTCCTCATGTCCAACAACCTGGACGACATACGACCTGAGACAAAGGACCTTCTCCTCAACAAGAACCTCATAGCCATCAACCAGGACCCGCTTGGGATCCAGGGCACCAGGAAATCTCAGGTATGGTGGCAGATGGAGCGCTAGGGCTATATGCAAACCAGCTTCACAAATCAAGTCAAAACATCCAGCTCGCACCCACAGTACAAAGGATATTTCGTTTAATATCTTACATTACTACTTTTATTTTATTTCAATCGATTTCCCTTTTAAAAAACGAATTCTATTCTAATGAGAGTCACAGCCAGCAGGTTAATCATGACAACACGTGATTGGAAAAGGAGCACATAAGGGGGGTCACTCCCCTCAAGAAATGGGGGTTGGGAGAGAGGAGGGGCGGGATATATGGGACTAGGGCATGAGAACTTGTTTTGTTTTTATATCAGACAAGGATGGCGAGTTATAATGATACATATCCGCAACAGCAAAGAAATCTAAATGGATTTTGGTCAGGTTCTGTGCATGGGCAGTTTGGATCATCGCACCCCGTAGTCAAGGATTATTTGCTCGTTGATCAGTCAAGGGTTTGCCACGTCAAGATTCAATTAATTATGGCCTTATTATTTTCTCAACGTATTGCTTTCTGGCGTTGAAAATCATTCACTTTGAGTATTAACACATACATATGTACGTGTTATTTTTGCAGACTGGTAACATTGAAATATGGTCGAGGCCTTTATCACCGGTGGGGAAATTCGCCATCGCCATCCTGAACCTGGGAGAGGCAGGATGCGCAGCTATTGTGAATACCACCCTGTCCTACATCGGCCTCACTAACCAGGGTGGCTACAAGGTCACCGAAGGGTTCACAGGTGCAGTGGTGGGGACATTCTCACTCTCCGACCACTTTGTGAGCAACGTAAACCCATCCGGTATACAGTTATACGTGGCTAGTCCTAACTAGTTTGGTGAATAGTATATTAGCATTAACAATGTCATGACGTATATGCCAACAATTTACTCGTGAGGTATTTTCCCAAAAACTATTTTTATATTTTCAGTATTCATGTGTAAGTTCGATCCCAGGTAGGGAGACCTTATGTGAATTATTTTAAAGCTGTTTCCATTCATTTGTGTTTAGGTATGTTGCATTAAGCGGCCGTTATAGCCTATTCTTCATGCAACGAACTGACACGGATTTGAAAACTCGCATCGTTAAACCACATTTACTACACCCCTCTCCAGCCAATGTACATATGCTTGCTTTGTCTCTGTGACAAAGAGATTGTATACATATCAATTATTAAATAATATCTACCCCGATGATTTGTTCTTTGTGAGTGTGGCGAGGTGATATTGGATCTGGGGTCAGGTTCAACGTTACTTAACTCATACATTGTGCGTGCGTGCGTGCGTGCGTGCGTGCGTGTGTGCGTGTGTGTGTGCGCGTCCGTCAGGGCTTATGTCGGTTTTGTATTGCTAGCTCACTGAGATACCATGCCGCATTTTAACATGGAAACCACACTGACGCCACTGAAACACATTTTATTATCCTTATCTTCCCCTTATCTTCCCCTTAAGGCCCAGTACCATCCATTAACGTCTTTGGTATGATGTGGCAAGGGGATCGAACCAGTGACCTGCTCTCCGGTCAGACGCACTATCCACAACACCACGGACGTGGTCTCGGCGAGTATGTGAGTTCAGTATGATGTCGCCTTAATTCAATATTACAGTTACAATAAGGCATGTCAGCTTAGTGTGGAAATGGCACAGGTCGGAGACAGCTTTGATGAAACCCACGTCCACAGGTATGGTACAGACATACCAAGGATCTACCTTGGGTAGATCATACCTCTGGGTAAAAGTGAGATTCAAGCCAGCCATGAGCGGATCACTGAAGTGAGTTGCCACATGTCATGTCCCTTCTTTGCAACGTGTGGGCGAATATTACTGTTCACAACATTGGCTATTTTTCTGCAATTCGAGGCGCACCCATCGATGTCAAAGCTGTTCAGAAATGGCTTATAACAGTGCTGAACCTTCATTATTAAAACATATCTTTGGAGGATTATTTGACCACTTTATTTTGAAAAAACTATGTGTTTTGAACCTTTATTTTGAACTAGTCAAGACTATGCGTATACCAATCGTGAACGTTAGTCGTATTTGTTAGATTTGTTACTACCTGTTACCCCTTTTCGGAATGTTCTAAGATAGCGGATTATTCTATCCATAATGAGTAATTATGCGTTTTAAGAGAGCACCACTTGCAAAGCGCTGAATGGAGCTGTATAAATAAGAGATGTCGAGTCTATAGTGGGACTATATCAAATTTCAGAACACAGGAGGTTTAACTCCTCATTCTAATCCCACGACCATCGCATTCTCACACGACTTAGGGCCAAAACATTCGTTGCAAGAAACATGCTCGTGACATAATTGGTAACAGAGTTCAGCAAAAATAAAGAGTATGTAAAGAAATACATGATTTTTGTGTGTGCTGTATGAGTGAAAAATACCTTAATTGTTACGTATGGACTGTAATAATGATGTTATCTGTCCATTAAAGCCTTTAAATTTAAATTGTTAAGAGTTATCATAAAGGTACAACATTGTCGGACGCACATTTATGCAGCATTAAGTGAGAACCGAGACGCTGCAGAACACGCAGGTAAAGCAAAATTTTACGTTAGCTTCATCGGGCACCTTTCATCATTCCTCACAGCGATGGCGATTTGTTTCTTACCATCCCACATATGCACTGACCAAACTTCCGGTGGAGGATCACATTTGAACATGAATAATACAATATGTTGACGGCAATGCGACTAGAAAACAGTATATTTGTGTTTGTATATTAAGAAAGGGAAAGTATGACAACTCAATTATTGTCAAAAATAATGACAATTATGTTTTTTTAGAATAAACGATGAGCTAAGTATCACGTGCGTATTACGACCAACAGCTGTCTTCAAATTAGAAGATGTATTTTGTCTCCGGCATCCATGTCTACATGAAAAAATACAATTTTGTCGTATAGAAAGCTCGTCTTCAATAAACATTCAAAATAACAGGATTTTATTACCAGATACCTGCGGTTTCTGTCAATGAAACACATGTTTGTGATGCGAAAAGTCGTCCTTCATCTTACTATGATTTCACTTATCAACTAAACCAAATGGGGGCACGGGTGGCCCAGTCGTCTAAGCCGCTGCGATTCGCTGTACAGAGTTGCGTCCCTTGGGCACGCCAGAAACCTATGATTGTGGGTTCGAATCCCGGTTCGCCCCGATTATGTTTCTAGGTTTGTCAGTACCATAATCGTGCTCGTGGGTTTCGTTTGTTTGTTTGCTTGTTGTTTAACGCCGCACTCAGCAATATTCCTGCTTTATGACGGCGGTCTGTAAATACTCGAGTCTGGACCAGACAATCCAGTGATTTACGTTATGATTTGTTTGTTTGTTTGTTGTTTAACGCCGCACTAAGCAATATTCCGGCTATATGAATAATCGAGTCTGGACTAGACAAACCAGTGATTGACATCATGAGCATCGATCCAAGCAATTGGGATATGATAAGATGCATCAGTCAGCGCGCATGACCACCCGATCCCGTTAGAAAAATCCCATTGGAGGTGAGAGCTCGTCACATTCCGGGCGTTATCAACATTCTCGCCGCCGTCCTATCTCAAGGAGTGGCAGTTACACACAGAGGTTTTCCAGGCGATTTGTTAGACCTTCGGCCACCCAAACGTCAACTTGTTCGCCACACGTTACAACCCAAGCTTCAGACGTTTGTATCACCGATACCGGAAGGCCTGGCTTGGGACCACGACGCACTCGCCATCGAGTGGAACGGCTTCCACGCGTATGCGTTTCCACTTCCGGCGCTCCTTCCCCTTGGTCTCTAGAAACTAGCATCTACAGTAAACATCTAGATTCTTTTTCTTATTGGCTCAGTTGGACGTGGTTTCCGCATTTCCTCTGACTCTTTATCTCCCCGTACTTCCCGGTCTGCTCAGAAATCCACACACTCGTCAACCACACCCGTGCCCTGAGTTGTTGGATCTACGCGTCTGGTCCATTTGCAGGACGCATTGACGGCTAGGGGTTTCTCTACGGCGGAGGCTCATGCTATGTGTCAGACACACCGCCCTTCTATGGCCTCCTTGTATGACAAGAATTGTTATCATTTGAGGCTTATTCTCGTCAACATGATATGGATTCTACTGTGGCTTCTATTCCGTTCATAGCTGATTTCTTAGTCCACTTACGTGAGACAAAACATTTGTCAGGCAGTACCATTGCCAGTTATGTCTCGGCCTTTTCAACTCAGTCCTCGGTGCCTCCCGTGTCACCCATATCAGCACAGCTCTCCTATGCGAAATTGGTGCCTCTAACGCAGTATCCAATATCTCCTGAACTACCTTAATCACTGGATTGTCTGGTTCAGACAGTTATTTTAGGGATCGACGTCGAGTTAAACGGCAAACAAACATAATCAAATTCTTGAAGGAAGGTCCCTCTTCAGTCCTTGTATAATCGTATTTATACGCTCCCAAGGATACATTTGTGGAAAGATGTGCCCACTTCTCCCTTTTTGCCTAAATAAATGTATTACGTCATTGATTTGTTCAGTATTTCAAAGTCTTTTCATTATAATACAGTTTTAACATAAATGTTGCAGAGTTTGTTTGTTTGTTTGTTGTTTAACGCCGCACTCAATATTCCAGCTATATGACGGCGGTCTGTAGATAATCGAGTCTGGACCAGACAATCCAGTGATTGACATCACGCGCATCGAGCCACTCAATTGGGATACGATGATATGCATCAACCAAGTCACCGAACCTGGACACCCGATCCCGTTATTTGACTCTTACAACAGGCATAGTCGCCTATTAGGTCAAGCGTGGGTTGCTGAAGACCTATCCTACCCGGGTCTTGGGAAGGGTAGACAATCAATGCACACATTTACAAGTGTCTTTTTTCATTTCAAGATTCTTTGCTTTAGCGATTGCTTTCCAACGTCGTGATCAATGATAGCACAGAATACATGTATTGAGTAGTATTTACTGATTGTCTGCATGGGCGTAATTATGGATTTTGATCTTGTAGTTGACATTGGCTTTGCCATGTTAATATCAATAGCTTAAACTGTCAGAACTTTGCCATTGCCTGCCTCCTAGCTACGGCCCTGGACGGGTGGCCCTGTAATTCTAAGGGAAGCTTTTCGATGTGCAGATATTCGCCCGATGAGATCGTGGGTTAGAATCATGCCTGATTCATCCAGATTATGATTCATAGCTTTTCGGAATCATGCCTGATTCATCCAGATTATGAGTCATATGCTTTTCGGAATCATGCCTGATTCATCCAGATTAGGATTCATAGCTTTTCGGAATCGTGCCTGATTCATCCAGATTATGATTCATATGCTTTTCGCTTATCGCTTTTCGGAATCATGCCTGATTCATCCAAATTATGATTCATAGCTATTCGGAATCATGCATGATTCATCCAGATTATGATTCATAGCTTTTCGGAATCATGCCTGATTCATCCAGATTATGATTCATAGCTTTTCGGAATCGTGCCTGATTCATCCAGATTTTGATTCATAGCTTTTCGGAATCATGCCTGAACTTGTTGAATCAGTGACAGGTGTTTAAGATCTGCATCACCTCGAGCATCTCAGCGTTTGAGTTATTATTTACAGTCACATCCAAATGGTGACTTCAACATGAAAACGATTAAAGCATATAAGGATCTGTCTTGAAAAGACAGTACAATAATTGACAATATACCACATTTAAAAAGATAATTGGACAACTATTTAAAAGAGGAAAATAATTAAACACAAAGGATCTACAGATCACCAGCAACCCAATGTAGACCACCAGCCTTCTTATTTGTTGGTGTTTTTGTACTTCTGCTCCCTGCATGGCCCCAGAAGGATTTACGCCATCCCTTCACCTGCTGGCGATTATTGGCAGTTTTAGTCCGCAAATAAAATTATCAAGTATACTACGATGACAACTCTGGGTATGCAATTCTTTAGGTGATATGTTTTATACCTTCACGGGAGTGTAGATGCTGGATGTCTGTTGTTTAACGCCGCACTCTCGATAGATGCTCGTGATGTCATTCACTGGATTGTCAAGATTCGATTTTTTTTAACAGACCGCCGTCAGCTGAAATATTACCGAGTGTGACGTCAAACCACAATTTAACAAGGCAAAAAGTGAGAGGGGGCTCACTAATACCCCGAATTTGACTCCAACTTATTTCTGAGTTCAAAACATGAAAAAAAAAAAAAAT